TTATAGTATTTGCATACTTACTGTTTTTAGCTTTCAGTGTGACGTTGTAAGCCACCTTGGGATCTGTTTAAGGGGAAATGGGTGTGTGTATAAAAATATTTTCAATAAATAAATAAAATAAATAATTAAGAGGTGATGGATTTGGGAAGAAGTCGTGTCTTCTGGCTCTTCTCTTGTCACTGACTGGTTCTGTCCTCTGTTTGCAGGATCCGAACCATTTTCCCCCTTCGCAGCTGCAGGCTGCAGCACGGCCACTGCTTGCTCCCTGCCCATTCGTGCGGCCCTTTACTTGGAAAACATGGCCTTCGTCTTCAACAAGGTCGTGTGCCACCCGGCGGTGAACGCCAGCAGCGGCGGCTCGTAGGGGAGCGAGCAGAAAATTATTTTGGAGAACAGCATGTCTTGCTTTTGCATGTTTGGCCTCGTTCCCTGCTGTGAAGGTCTTGAATAAACTGGCATGAAAATCGCCCCCAAACATGGTTGAAAATGTGTGTTTCTTCGGTTGGGCTTTTTGGAGCAAGTAAGGGGAAATAAATGTCCCTGTGAAAATATAGAGGAGAAAGAGCAGCTACCCATTGTGGTGGAGAGACCATGGGTCTCCAGATGTTCTTGGACTAAAACTCCCAGAAGCATTCACTACTAGCTGTGCTGGCCAGGATTTATGGGAGTTGTAGTCCAAGAACATCTGGGGACAAAATTCACAGGGAAACTTCCCCTGACTCTTCTCTATAAGCCCTGCAATTTTGGTAAAGTTTGTTTTTTGGATATCTGAGTTATACACCCACAAGTATTTCAACACCCTCCTCAGGAAAGTTCCTCTCCAGGTACCTAGAGACACCAAAATCACAGAGAAAACTCTACTGACTCTACTACACAATATCTCCATATTTGATGAAGATTCGGTTTCAGACATGCAAGTTATACACCTACCACGTGGATTCCCCCAGGAAAGTGCCCTTTAACAGCTAGCTTAGGGAAACCCGATCTTCACCAAACTTGGATGGAATGTAGAGGAGAGCCAAGACAAGCATGTCTGTGATTTGGTGTCTCCAAGAGCCTGAGGGGGCCGTTTTATAGCCAAATAAATTGATGAATCAAAAATAACTCAAAATTCATCGATTCATATTCATTGGGGGCATTGATTTGTACAAATACAAACCAACAAATTAGTGATATTTGAACAATTGCAGTGATTTATTTTTAAATTTGTGCACATCTCTACCTGGAGCCTTCTGAGTACATTATAACATCATCGGCTACCCATGCTCAGGTTCCCTGTGGTGTCCAAGTTTCATCAGTGTAGCTCAGAGAAATTAGACTGTCCCAACTTTGGAAGAAGTAAATGCCTCCACCTCTCTCTCTGTGTCTTTGTGTGTGTGTTGGGTAAATAACTTACACCTAGTACAACTTGTTCAAAATTTGAATGAGTACAAAGTCCAAAGAGAAAAACCTGGATGGTTATATCCTCCACTACAGGCTGTTCCAAACCATCTGCAATACTTCTAAGATGGAGAAATAGAAAAGAAATAAAAATCCTGGGATATGTAATATGGCCATCAATAAGTCCTCATTTATATACCTTTCCCTAGTAAAATCTGAAATAACAAGAAACCCCCTCTCCCCTTTCTATATCCCTTCAGTTTCTCACTGCTGAAGAGTTTCCCACACACTTCTGGCTTCCTGCTGTTAGGGGCTCCAGGTCTCATCATCCTGCTGTGGTTGTTAGAATCTGTGACTCAACCTATTTTTGGAGACCGGGTTGGGGAAGGTTCTCAGTAAGACCACAATGGAAGTGTTTACTAGGGAGCCCTTCACATGAGTCTCATTCAGTCACTATCGTTTTAATTGCAAAAAAAGAGTAGAAAAGGAGTAAGAAGCTTTAGTACTTACCCAGAAGGCTGATAACTAGGATGCAGAACTATCATGGGAAAAATCACCCATCTCAACCTCATCCAGTGCATTTCCTTTCTTAAGCCAAGACTTATTGGAAAGCAGTTCCAGGTCAACTGCACTCATGGTTATCAGCCATTAGATCAACAGACATTTTGGTTTTCCCAGAATTCCCTGTCAACACGACAATGATCAAGTTTGCCAGAAGCTGAAATTCAAAACATCTGAGGGACCAAAAGTTGAGAACGGCTCTCCTGCTCTGCTTCTTGCTTTCAGTCCTGTTCGTTTTTGTCCTGAAAAGTTGGGCGCCTTTTGCTACATCCTTCTTTTTCGAACATCCCAAGCTCTGATCTCAATGGAGGTTAGACGTGATGGCCTTATAGGTCTCTTCCAACCCCATCATTCTGTGATGATTCTAGGGTCTCCATTTGAGCAAGGGAATACAGTGGTGCCTCGCTAGACAGTTAGAGTAGCTTTCTTTTCAAACAGGAAGCTAAACCAGAGCTAGGCCTTTTCCCAGGTGAGCGAAATTTAGCTGTCTTTAGGTGTGGGTCTTACTTTTTAAGGGAATTTTAAGGCATTTTGACAAAAAAAGAATTCAAGGGTTGTTTTTAAATATGTTATCAGTGAAAGACCAGTGTTGTGATTGTCAGATCGTTATATGGACCAACTAGTTGACTGAACTTGATTCAAATCCCATCTTTCTCCAAAACTAGGTCTCAAGGCAACAGACAAAAGATTTCTTTAAAAAAACAGGAGGAAATAAAAACACAGTGTCCAGAATCTGACTGGCTTTTCCAATCAGAACTGCAATCTGTGAAGTATCTTCTCTCTCTGGCGGGCTCTCATTTGTGCGTACACTCAGACACTGGCTGGGAATCAGGTACATAATGAATCACACACAATGATGGTGTGAAAGACAGCACAAAGGAGACCAAAAACTATCATGAAGTTCCCATTGCTTATATAAATAAATATATGAATTTTCTCAAGAGATTTCTGCCCTGTTGAGTATTATCTTGTTAAACCACGACTGGACAACTCAAAAAAACATGACCACTGAATTACAAACCAGTTAAAAGCCCACAAAGATGATGGATTCGAAGTAATTTTAAAATCTAGTAATCAGAAAAGGACAGTATCGGCCCCTTTAATGCCAAAAATACAGAAAAAGCACAACAGATTTCTCCAGTAAAGAAATCGGAGTCAATCCCACATAGAGACATACATGCAGACAAATGAGGTTTTGATAATAGAATTACCTCAGAATTCCTTAATTCCTTCCCACCTCACAATTAATCAACACCTCCTCCACCCATGCCACTCTTTTCCACCTCCCATAGCTGCTCCCTCCCCACTGATAGCTGATATTTACTCAAGCTTCCCTTAAAAGGTACACATACAGACGCAACACCACCCAGTTGGTCTCTTTGTCCAAAGACATCACCTCACAAAGAACCTTGAAGAACCAGGAAAGAAAAACAGGTAGGAGTGGGACATTTCGTTACAGGTATGAGTAAACCTTCATATTAGGACTTGATGGTCCCGGATAGGGATTAGGGGTAGTTTGGGAAGATCATCCAAATCTGGTCTGTGCTATTTTCTCACAGTTTAGTGCTTCTACTTACAAGTAAACCTTGCCACGTTGACCTCTAAGTTCCTTTGCTATGATTTTCCCATGGAATCATAGACTATAATGGAATTATAGACTGTATCTAAGGTGATCTGAATTTTCCCACCACCTGCGGCAGAAGGAGTTAATGCTACTACCATTGCGGTGCCCATTACTTCCACGTCTTTATCCCCTTCCACTGTCCTCCCTCCCTACTTGGTGGCCACCTCCCCTCACTCACTTTCCCCATCCTCACCTCATCTGCCTTGCATCCTCTCCCTTGCTCTCTGTGGGAAGTGGTTCCAGCAGAGCAAGGGGATCATCTCAGTTCTCCTCAGAAATGCCCTATCCCGAAAGGTGCGGGACTGAAAAGTGCCTCAGATCAAAGCATTTGAGTTCACAAGAACTCTGAAAGCACAAGAAAAGAGCTCTCGGAATGCCCTCCGAGCATTCACCTCTAATAGGGGCGCACCAGAAACAAAGATGGCCGACTTGTCCTAGTTGCTTGAGCTCTGTAGGGTCTACACCAGAGCTGGGTGATTTGAGGCTCTCCAGTTGTTATCAGATTACAAGTCTCATAAGCCCCAGTCGGCATACATCCAGTGGTGAGACAGAATAAAAAGCCGACCAACATCTGGAGGGCCAGAGGTTGTCCCCCAGATGTAGTTCATTCTTGGTTGGTGGGGCTTTTTTAGAGTTTTAGGGACAGCCTTGTCTGGAGATGCTGGGAATCAACCTTGAACATCTCATGGAATAATCACAGGGGGTCATGGTGGAAATCTCCACACCTTGCTAAAGGTCCTGCAGTACCTCTTGCATGAATACATTTAGTCTGCTGCTAAAGCACTTATCCTGCAGTCATTTGAAGTCAAGAGACCATTTATCCTGCTAATGCACACTAGAACAAGCACGCATAGCCCTATCAATAGTCTTATCATCATTTCAAGAGATAAAGCAGTCCCTCCAGTGCTTGATATAGCAGGCTGTGCATGGTACTCGACAAACAATGTCCATGGTTGGGGGGGGGGGGGAGGAGTGAGGCTTTTCCACAGCTGTAGCCATGGAGTCCTCCATGGTTATTTGGATTTGAACTGGCCAGGTTCACTGCTCTTTGAGTTAAGCTTAAGTCATGTGAGACTGGCATGTGTAGGTAGAGGACAGAGGAAAGGTTGTGTATATTGGAAGACTTGAGCTTCAGTTCTGCACTGAGCCCACCTTTCTCATGTTTTTTTCTGCCTATGGAGAAGTGGTTGGTGACCGTATATGTATTCGGGGGTAGGTGGGTTCACACCATTCCAGGAGTAAATTTGTGTGCCTTCTAAATTTTGGCATCCTGGGTCAAAGCCCCAGGCACCCCGCCCTGCTTATGGCTCTTCACAGGAACTCCCTTGCATCCGTCCTAGGAGGAAACGAAACATAACGTCATTTAGGGCATTAGCCATCATGTGAGCAGGGTCGGAAAGGAAAGAGCTGAGAGGCTACAAAGGATCAGAACTTCCTTGGTGCTCTTTACCAAGGTCGTGATCTGGTAGAGGTTCCCCTTCCTGTCGTTCCTTGCTTTAAAAAAAAAGTTACTAAGCGTGCCAGTGCTATCTCAAGTACGTTGGCCTCAAATTTTAATTTTTGTTAACAGTACTATGGGTGCCCATCTCAGGCAACTAAATTTACATACCAGATAAAGATGATGTTTGTATTCAATGTTGTGAATCTTTGCGGAAGGTCAAAAGATAAGGAGTCCCCTATCCTCTGCTCTAAATAGTTTGGGGTGGATTTCATGGTGGGAGGAGAGAGAGAGAAGACAGGGTTTAGAGAGGACACGCAACATCACAGGGCAAACAAAGCTCCTTCTCTCGTGACAAATAAAGTTCACTTAAAAGGAGAGACAGATGTCCTGAAAACTATTAAGGGGAAGATGATGGAAACAGGCAAATAGATCGGTGGGAAAATAGTATTTTTAGAGCTGGG